AGAGAAGTCTCATGAAACATCAGTTAGCAACAAGAACCTTTCCGAAAAGGTGCTTGTCTTGGGTACAGGTAGTGCCCAGAGACCAGATGGATGGGAATCTGAATGTAACAAGAGTATTTTATGTTTGTGTCTATGGGTTATCTTTATTAAACAACATTGAGCATCTGGCTGAAAACAACACCCATGACCCTGGAGCAGCTCCTGAAGAAGTTTAACAAACTCAGCTGATACCAGTTTAATGTGAACTCATTTTTACTTTTTACCCCCCCCCCACAAAAGAGTTATATTCACTTTCAATTCAAAACTCTCACACTTGAGCATTTGGCAGGGAGCTGTATCACAACATATTCCTGATCAGCACTTTTCTAAGGAAACCAAATGCAAACATATCCTAAACATACATCACACAGTACACGTGTCTCCAGAGCAGCACATGTACCCAACCTTACCTCATCGTACTCCCCATCCGACTCCTCACGTTCTATATATTCAACATTCTCTCGTTCATTAAATCCTCCTCCGTATCCTTGAAAAAGGGGGAACACAAGACAATCTCTTGAGCTGCATCGAATTCATCTACATGAAGCACAAAGTTTATTCTAAACTTTCACAGGGGCTCTGGAAGCCTTCAGTGGTTTATAAATATGTGCCCCAAGAATGTAACAGGATCTCAAGAGCATGAATTGTTCCCGCACACGTTTATTAAACAGAAACCTAATTAAGCAAGTGGATTAAGACGCAAACAACATTGAAACAACAGAGTTTAAGAGAGTGGGGAAAAAACCACAGAAGTATCAGGATTATAGCTGTGCTTCCCAGCAGAGCTCTGGTGGGGCTGTGGTGCCTGACAGCTGCCCTGTGTGGATCCCCAAGGGGCTAGCACAAAGGCTACTGTCCTCCAAGGCTGAAATCTCACCTTGGGGAGCAGCCAGTAGCCAGCTCAGGAAAGAAATGAGTGAAACACGAGGCGGGGACATGCTGCTCAACTGCTCCCCTTGGCCTCAGCCAGGCCCCACATGCACGAAGCCCCCTGGGTATCATGATTCTTCTGGGACATACACTCAGATATAGCTCCTCAGGGAGCCACAGAAATAAAAGGATCCTGCAGTCGCATGGAATTGTACAACTGCCAAGATTTCCCTTAGGAATCTCTCTGTTCCTTTGTCTAATGTGAGAGGAACACCTGAAGGGCTCGTTTTCATTTCAGCTGCCTCTGTAACTGACCCCAAGCGTGTGCAACGTGCTGGGTGTCCTGCATGAGACTGACAACCTCTCAGGGACACCAGAACACGGGAAAATGATGAAACAGTAAAAAAATACTTAATCCTATGAAATATATTAAATCCAAATAAATATTCTTATCTAATATTGTAAGAATATTAAAGAATATTAAAAAATATTGTTCTTTGAGTTACAACCTCTGTGCTCTTCTCCATGCTTCTTTTTTTATATACAGAATCATCCAATCACAGACTGGTTTGGGTTGGAAAGGACCTTAAGATCATCTAGTTCCACCCCCCGTGCCACAGGCAGGGGCCCACCACACTAAAACATACCACCCAAGTGCATATGCATTACTGTCACACTCCATGCATCAGATTCTCAGCCTGATCCCATCTGCAGTGGTACCACTACAAAGGCAGGACTGCAGTGTAAGGAGATCCCCCGGTCTAGTTACCTCTGGGCTCATTATTAATGCAGGAGGAACTTAAAATGTGTCTGAGTGTGACCAAACCTCAAACCTCATTAAGAGGTGACAGTCTGATCTACACAACCTTCAAACCCTGTTCTTGGGAATGCTGAGGCCTCCATGAATGGACACTGTGCATTCACCGAGCCTTTTGGAGTTTAATACAGATTGCATTACTCGTTCCAAACATCTTAATAGCAAAATCAAATACAAAGGCAGTTTGAGTGCTGCTTAACTTTCCGTACAAAACCACCACATACTTAATACACTACTAGAAGTAATCAAGTCCAAGAACCTACAGACTTATTTGCATATGGAAAATCATCCAACTTTCGCAGAATCCCAGCCTGGTTTGGGTTGGAAGGGACCTTAAAGCTCCTCCAGCTCCAACCCCTGCCCCGGGCAGGGACACCTTCCACTAGAGCAGGTTGCTCAAAGCCCCTGTGTCCAACCTGGCCTTGAACACTGCCAGGGATGGGGCAGCCACAGCTTCTCTGGGCACCCTGTGCCAGCGCCTCAGCACCCTCACAGGGGAGAGCTTCTGCCTCAGAGCTCATCTCAGTCTCCCCTCTGGCAGGTTCAAGCCATTCCCCTTGGCCTGTCCCTACATCCCTTGTCCAAAGCCCCTCTCCAGGTTTCCTGGAGCCCCTTTAGGCACTGGAGCTGCTGTAAGGTCTCCCCTTCAGGAGCCTTCTCCAGGCTGACCCAGCCCAGCTCTCTCAGCCTGTCAACTTTGCTGGTTCTGCTGTGAAAACACCACCTTTAATTAAATTACACTTCAATTTATAAAGGGATGTCTTCTTACAGCAATTTGAGTAGTTTAAACCCACACACATCTTACCTGTCCTCTCCTCCAATTTCGCGTACTTTGGAGTATTACACATATTACATTCTGATCTTCTGGCCCAGTTCACGTTACCACATCTTCAGAGGCAAAAAGAACAAAACAGAAATAAGAAACATTTTATATCTAATCAAAAGCTTAAGTGTTGAGGCAACACTTAAAATAAATCACAGAATCCCAGACTGGTTTTTGTTGGAAAGGATCTTAAAGCTCCTCCAGCTCCAACCCCCTGCCCACAGGCAGGGACACCTTCCTCTAGAGCAGGTTGCTCCAAGGCCCTGTGTCCAAACTGGCCTTGAACACTGCCAGGGATGGCATTATAAAAATGTATTTGCCAAGTTTTAGCAGTGATCTGGTAAATCTCCATGGCCAACAGTCCCCAAGACAACTGCTTTAAAGAGTCTTTGGGTATTTCACGAGCATGAGAATGATGGGAAGGTGACCACACTGGAGAAATGGAGGGGAAAGAAAAGGCAGGCACACAAGTTAACAGGGGTAAGTGCACTCCAAGTGTTAAACCCCTCATCACTCTCCACTAGTGGCATT